AAATGCATTAGCATGCGATTAACTCGACTTTTGTTTCATTCGATTATTTATTTATTTATTTTTTTTTTTTAGATAATTACATAGGTTATGTTAAAAAAAAACAAATTTGAAAAATTTAAACCATAAAATTGAAAAAAATTTTTCTTTTTCTTCTTCATCTACTAATTTGTAAATTTACAACAACAACAACAACAACGACAAAACAAAAAACGAAACAATTTGCAATATTTCAAATCGTTCGTTGTTTCCGTTTGTAATGTTTGCAATTTAAATTGATTTTTTTATTTTACAATGGAATGAAACATCTGGTGGGAAATGAAAATCACGTTTTTATTAGTAGTAATTTTATAAAAAGAAAAAATGAGAAAAAAAAAAGTTTTAACACGAATGATTTCATTTAATTCGTTTCAATCATACAATTAATAATTTTATTCGTTACAAAACAATTAAAATCAATTTTTAATCTATTTCAATTTTACATTTCCCCCCCCCTTTCCCCTTCCCCCCAAAATAGATTTTATTGTTATGTGACCTCCTGTGATAAAATGCTAATCACAATTAAAGTAAATTAAATTAAAAAAAAATTTTCTATAAACTTTTAAATAAATTTGCAAATGTTTTCGAAATTATTCGACAGGGAAAAAAAACCAGTTTTGTATCGACAATATGTAAAAGTTAATAACAAATGATTTTTTTTTTTTACAATATATATAAATAACAACAACTTTCACCATAATTTTGATCTAATTTTTTTTTTTTACAAGGTAAATCATAAAACATACCTTCGTTTCCGAAAAGACTCCAAATTCTACTAAATAGGAGTCCCATATTTTAAATAAATGTCTTTTGGCCATCCGATTTAATGTTAATGAAAAACTTTATCTCATTTTTATATAAATCACTGAATAAAACAACTTTATTATTATTATTATTATTATAACAAATATTAAATAAAACTGTAAAACATCTCGAGTTAACTGTATTACACGATATATATATGTGGGTCAGGTTTTTTTCAAGGCTAGGGTTAAACAAATAAATTTTTTTTTTAAACAAATATCAATTAATTATCATTATTTTAACGATGTGGCGAACGCGCACGAATAAAATCACAATCCAAATTTTTTTTTTAAAAAAATTTATTAAACTTAATTGAAAATGTGCACATAAACAAATTCACACCGCAATATATTTATTATATATAATGATTGAAAAATGATTTTAAATAAAAAAAAATTTTTTTTTTTTTTGAAACCCAAAAAACAAAAAAAATAAAAATAAAAAAAGAAATTTTAATCGACGCGATTATTTAAATAAATGTAATTAAATTATTTTAATAAAATATTTAAATACCCGCTATTTAAATACTTGTACTGACGTTTAAAAAAAAAAAAAAAAAAAAAAAAAAAAAAAAACTTTTTTTTTTTTTGTATTTAACTAATGTTGTAAAGTCCCCAAAAGTACGAAATCAGGTTTGCAACTTTTTTTTTATGTTGGCAGTATCATGTTACGAATTAGCCACTTGGCAAACGTAACGAGATTACCGCAAAACGTGAGAAAGTTTTACATTAGAAAATTATTTGTCGAACCGAAAGGTTGTTCAACGCGAGTGATTTGTCGTGTTCTATGTTATCAAAAACCCGTTAAAAAATTTAACTGGGGTAAAAATAAACCTCATAGAAAAATACCATTAAAGGAATTTTTTAAAATGGATCCGAAATTGGAAGAAGTATTAAGTCCGTTTAGAGCTGCCGTCAAAGAACAGGTAAATTTTTACCTTTTACAAACGCATATTTTTTTTCTCATTTAAACGATGGTTGTTGTTGATTATTTTCTCATTTTCATTGTTATTTTTTCTCATTTTCGTTCATGATATTTTCTTTTTAGGGAGATTTGGTAAGAAGTTTAAAAGCACAAAATGCCCCTGACATAGACATTCAAAAAGCAGTTGCTGAACTTAAAGCAAGGAAAAAGTTATTGGAAGATAAGGAAATTGAACTTTCTCCAAGCGTTTCAACATTCGATAGAAGCAAAATGGAGGATTTGTTAAAAAGAAGATTTTTTTACGATCAGTCTTTTGCTATATATGGTGGAATAACTGGTCAATTTGATTTCGGTCCCATGGGTTGTGCCTTGAAAAGTAACATTTTGTCAACATGGAGAAGTTTTTTCATTTTAGAAGAACAAATGTTGGAAGTTGATTGTGCTATTTTAACACCAGAACCTGTTTTAAAGTAATTTTTTTTTTAATGAACTAATAATATTCATATCATTGCATCATAATTAGCAACTAACTAAAAAAAAAATTATTTCAGGACTTCTGGTCATGTTGACAAATTTGCCGATTACATGGTAAAAGATGTCAAAACCGGTGAATGCTTTAGACTTGATCATTTAATTAAAGCTTCTTTAAATAAATTATCATCTGACAAAAAAACTCCTCAAAATGTCAAAGATGAGTGCGAAGATATTTGTGTCAAGGTGAGGTGGTTCATTTTTACTTTTTCGGGGGGATCAAAATATTTTTTTTTTTAATCATCATGAATTTAAAAATTTAAAATGTTTTTAATTACAGCTGGATGGCATGACAAGAGATGAAATGGGTGCAATATTAAAAAAATACAAAATAAAATCTCCACTATCTGGTAATGATTTAACCGAACCTGTAGACTTCAGTTTAATGTTTGAAACTTCGATAGGTCCGACGGGTTTAACCAAAGGTTACCTTAGGCCTGAAACAGCCCAAGGTATTTTTGTTAATTTTAAGAGATTGTTAGAATTCAATCAAGGTAAATTACCTTTTGCCGCTGCTCAAGTCGGCCAAGCGTTCAGAAATGAAATCTCGCCAAGATCAGGACTAATAAGAGTGAGGTAAGAAGTAAAATTAAATGGTTAAAATTATCAGCATTCATAAGATTATTCATAATTTTTTTTTTGTTTGTTATTTAAGAGAATTCACATTAGCAGAAATTGAATATTTTTGTGATCCCTCTGATAAAAGTTATCCCAAATTTCAAAACTTGGCCAACACGATACTAAATTTATATTCGGCATGTAATCAACTCGATGGAAAATCTGCCGAAAAGATGACAATTCATGATGCTGTTAAAAATGTATGTAATTAGAAGAAAATTTCGATTTAAACAGAATGATTTCATTCCTAATTTTTTTTCAATTGTTAAAGGGAGTCGTTGCGAATGAAGCATTGGGTTATTTTATGGCCAAAATTCAATTGTTTTTATTGAAAGTCGGTATCAATCCAGAGAGAGTTAGATTTAGGCAACACATGAGTAACGAAATGGCTCATTATGCAACTGATTGTTGGGATGCTGAATGTTTGACCTCTTATGTAAGTAAAAAGTGAGTTTAACACTTTTTTTTTTTTTTTCTCTTACATAAATTATAAGAAGTGAAAGTCTTGTTTTTTTTTTTCTCACAATCGAAAGATTCAATCAACAAAATGGTTTATCTTAATTCACATTTTTTTTTGTAGGGTTGGATTGAATGCGTGGGATGTGCAGATAGATCAGCTTTTGACTTGACACAACACAGCAAAGCAACAGGTATTAAATTAATAGCTGAAAAAAGCTTACCAGAACCCAAGACGGTGACGATAACCGAAGTCATTTCCAACAAGGCTTCCATTGGAAAAGTTTTCAAAAAGGATGCGAAAGCGATCACGACAGCATTGTCATCTCTTTCACTATTTGAAATGGAAGAGGTTAAAAATCATTTAGAACAAAAAGGGTATTTAATTTTTCATTTATTTTTTACTTGTGTGTTCACTTCCTCACTCACTCACTGAATGTGATTTTAACTTGCAGTTCGTACGATTTGAAAATTAACGGTAATTCATTTAATTTACCCAAAGCCATGATCGAAGTTAAAACTCAGCAAAAGGTTGTTCACGTCGAAGAAATAACACCCAACGTTATCGAACCATCTTTCGGAATTGGAAGAATCATTTATGCATTATTCGAACAATCTTTTAAAACGAGAGAACTCGACGAGCAAAGAACGGTAAATGTTAAACATTTGAACGTTTTTTTTTTTTAACTGTCGAATGATTTAAAACATTTTTTTTTTTTTTCAGTTTCTTTCACTCCCTCCTTTGGTGGCACCCATCAAATGTTCCATACTACCGTTGAGTGGAAAAGTCGAATTTGTTCCATTCGTTAAAAAATTATGTAAGAAAACAAATTTTTTAGACAGAGAGAGAGAGAAAGAGGCAAAATTAACCTAATCGATAAATTAATTTTTCAGCCGAAGAATTGACAAAGTTAGATATATCTTACAAAGTGGACGATTCCGCGGGAAGTATCGGAAAACGTTACGCGAGAACAGACGAAATCGCCATACCTTTCGGCGTGACGATCGATTTCGACACGTTGCAATCACCGCACACGGTCACGTTAAGAGAAAGGGATTCAATGACTCAAGTCAGAGTTCCAGTACGTGCATCCCTCATTAATAAAAATTAATTTTTTTACGGGATCCCTATAATGTTTACTACCTTATTTATTGGTTTTACAGGTCGAGGATATTCCAGATTTAGTTTCTAATTTATCCAAATCGAAAATAACGTGGAATGAAGTGACACAAAAATATCCAAAATTCGAACAACAAGATTCAGTAAAATCTTAGGATTAAGTTTTTCTCTTAACTGTTTATTTTTTTTTTTTTTTTTTTACTGTTTGAATAAAATAATAATTAAATAAGAAAATTAATTGTTTTGCGTTTGTGAATCCCCTTAAATCCTACATAATTTTTTTTTTTCCAATTCATCAACGTTGGAATTATTAAATTGTGTTACTTTGATTTAAAAGATTAATAATTGGAACGATTAGAATGGTAATCAATTCAAATTTAAATTATCAAAACGTTTTACACATCGTCTGTTTGATATATTTAATAATATTAATTTATTTAAAATAATTAATTTATCATTAATAATAATAATAATAAATAAATAAAATTTAAAAAAAAAAAAACATGAGCGAATTTGAAACAATGGGTGAAGGTGGTGAAGAAGCTGATTATATTGGAGTAAGTTTTAATATTTTTTTTTTGGGGGAAAGAGGGGGGATTTTAAATTATTATTATTAATGGAGGGGGGATTCGTTAAAGGAATATTACGGTGATAGAAATTCTAAAAATGAAAGACACGGATTTGGTCAAGCCATATTACCAAATAAAGATCGATATAAGGGTTATTATAGGAAAAATCTTCGTCACGGTAAAGGATTTTATGCTTTTAGAAATGGTGCCAGGTACGAAGGACAATATAGAAAAGGTATAAAACATGGTTTTGGTACTTTCTGGTATCCCGACGGTTCTAAATACGAAGGTTGGAGGAATGATATTAATGAATTGGGGGGAGGGGGTATAAAATCTAATATTATGTTATTTTAAGGTGATTGGAAACGTGATCTTCGTCACGGTTTTGGAGCTTATTATTATTCAAATGGAGATTTATACGAAGGACATTGGTATAAGGGTATCAAAGAGGGTTTGGGTACATATTCGTGGAGTAATAATACAGAAGTTAAATTTTTGGGTACTTGGAGAAATGGTATGATGGACGGTCCGGGACAGATAATACATCAAGGTCATAGATATCATGGAAATTTTAAATTTAATTTGGTAAATTAATTATTATTATTATAAATTTTGTAATTACCTGGTAGACGATTGTTACTAAATTTGTTTGTTTATAAACTTTTAAAAGCCCCATGGCCGAGGTTGTTATACTTTTGAAGGAATTGGAATGCTCCATGGTTTTTACACACATGTCAAAGATCCTAATTATAGAGAAGAAGAAAATGTTTTACCAAGTGGCGACAATGAAGAAAACCTTAAAAAACCAAGCAGAAAAGGTTTTAATATTTTATGTGGATTGTTAAAAATAAAAAGAAAATCTGTTTAAACCAACACATATACGTTATCTATTTTAAACAGGAATTATTCCTCTTTGGAAAGCTAGAAAATTTACAGAATTCCTTTCATCCATGATGCCAAAAGATCCAGTACCTGTTGAAATTCCAGATTCGGTTTCTACATCTCCTGATGAAGATAGTGACAGTTTACCACAACCTGAAACAGAAGATGAAGAAGGTTTGGAAAGTGAAGTTGGACCATATATGGAATCACTTGAGAATTTGGTTAGATTTTCAAATTTTTATTAAAATTACTTACATTCATTCACTTACAAGTAAAATAACATAATGAAATCCTTCACAAATTGTACATAATTCAAATTATTTTTTTTTTGTTATAGAATTAAGAATTACGTGTAAGAAACAAAAATTATGCGTTTGCATTAAAAAAAATTAACAAAATTGGCGCAAAAATATTTTGAAATTTGTCGAAAGAACGTCAAAGAAGAATTGCGTCACATTTTTTTTAAAAACAAACTTCATCATTATTATTATTACAAGTTCGTAGTGGTAACTGTTTAATTATGATCAAGAAAGTAAAATTCTATTAATAAAAAAACACAATTTTTTTTTTGTGACATCTAATGATTATTTTAAATATATATAATAATGTCTGAATCTTTACTTTTTGCATTTGCACTCGTTGAAACAGCCGCTGTCATATTTTTATTTGTTTATTTTATAATAACACTATCAGATTTCGAATGTGATTATTTAAATTCTCAACAATGCTGCTCAAAATTAAACATGGTAAGTTAATATTTGTAAAAGGTTATTTTTTTCCACAGAATTAAGTACTTAACAATCATAACGGTTTTTTAATTTCTTTCACTCTCATAATGTTTAATGATTAACTGACCTTTCAAAGACATTTATTTATTGTGTATAATAGTTTTGAATCATCAAAAGCAAATTTATAATTTATTTATTTATTTTCAGTGGGTGATACCAAAATTGGGAGCTCATGTTTCTCTCACACTATTACTATTATGTTATTCTCGTTGGATGTTAGCCATAGCGAATGTGCCTCTTGCCGCATGGCTCGCATATGAATTTTATTCGGTACCAAAAGGTAACATGGGAGTTTATGATCCGACTGAAATATACAATCGTGGACAGTTAAAAAAACACATGAGAGACTGTATGATATTTTTAGGTTATTATTTAGTGTTTTTCTTTGTATACCTCTATTGCTTAATTATTTCATTATTAAAAGGTAATCCACTCGAAAGGGATGAACCGGAAATGTCGGTATTTTAGACATTTCATTAAAAAAAAAAAAAAAAACTATTTATTTAATCAATTGAAAGTAAATAAGTAACAAAAATTATTTGCTTGTAATTTGTGATTGATGTTGGACAATTTAAAACTCTTCAAGTTTATATGTAAATTATTTTTTAAGTACAAAATATAAATCCTCACATTCACATAAATTTTTTTGTATATTCACTTGCGAAATGCTTAACCGATATTACTAGTATTTAAGTAAAGTCGAGTATTTGTGAGAAATTTTTATTATTATTATTATTATTATTATTATTATTATTAATTAAAATTATTTATTTATTTTTATTTATTATGAATTAAGATAAATTCATAAGAACAAGCTTATATTTATTTAATAACCTTAAAAAATAATGAAAAAAAAATTTGTCGGAATCAAATCGAATACTACTCTCTCTCTCTCTCACAGAAAAAAAAATTATTATTAAATCATGTTTTTTAAAATAATTGTCATTAAATGACAATTTAATTTACAATTAATTGTTTTTTTATTATGTGATGCAATAATTTATTAATATATAAATGAATGAACACTACAAATCGATTAAGAAAAATTCTTTTTTTTTTTTATTGTTAATTTTCATTTAAATAACATTTTGGAAAATTTTTTTTTTTAAATCGATAATCATTTGTATTAAATTTGATTGTTTATTAATAATTATCGAATGATAAATTTTTAAATTATATAAAATTAAAAAATGATATAGAACAATTTTTTTTTTCTTAATGATAATGCATAGCGAATAATTTTTGTTTAAAACATTAAACGATTGTTTCTGTAATAGATTTTATTTGAAAAAGAAAAACTAACAAAAACATTTTAAAATTTATTTTATTTATTTATTTATTTAAAACGAAAAGTTAATGATATATTTTAATTAACAATCAAATTCATTTTGTTTGTATTACATTCAATGTTTAGTTAATCATCACCTTAAAATTTTCTATCGACCGCCATATTTGTTTTTTTTTTATCATCATAAAAATATGTAAATGACCGAATAAAATTTTGTTTATTTAAAAATCCTTTTTGTTAAAATTTTAATGATTATAATTATCTGTTAAAAGGAAAAGGGGAAAAGTTTCCCGTTGGGGGGTTTAAAAAAAAAAAAATGAAAAGAAAAGGGGGGGGTCGGGGGGCAATGATTTTCTTTTGTAGGGGGTTTTAATAAAAGAAATGGTAATAATGGTAATAAAAGAAAAGTTTTTTAAAACAAAAAAACAAACCGACCGGCTTGTAAGGTTTTAAATAAAAAAAAAAAAAAAAAAAAAAAAAAAGGTATTAAATTTAATAGTTCATTAAAATAAAATAAAAATTTTTATGGTTAATAAAAAATGGAAAAAAAAGTTTTTTTTTTTTTTTTTATGATGATAATAATAATTTTATCCTAGTTAATAACATTAATAAAAAAAAAAAAAATTAATTTAAATGCAATAATTTAATTTTAAATTTTTTTTTTCCTTTTTTTTTTTTTTTTTTTTATTGTTCTGTTGCTTCCATCATTGCACGTTTATTTTTAGAAGAAAGGAAAAAACCTTTTATAAAAATTATTATTATTATTATCATCATCACTTTTTTGTTTTATGCATCACGTTCGTACCTTAAGTGTACTTGTTAAACTACATTTTTTTTTTTTTTTTTTTTTTGTTATAAAATTTTCAAGTTCTCTTATTCGATTGATTTTTTTTGTTTTACTTTCTGTAAAAATATTTTTAAAAAAACCCTTGTTGTTTTGTATTTTTTTGGGGGGCCATGTTTTAATTTAAAACGTTTATAACTCTCTTTCTCTCTCTCTCTCTCTCTCTTATATAATTCTTTATATTTTAACATTAATTTATATACAAAATAAATAAATGTAAAATTTTCTTTTGTTTTTAAAATGAATTTCCCTTCTCCCCCCCCTCTCTCTCTCTTTTTACATCTTACAAAATAATATAAATGATGATTTGAATAATAATAAGACAGTAAACGGGGAGGTGGGGGGGGGAAACACAAATCAAAAACAGCAAATGTTGTTATTTTTATTTTTTTTTATATAATAAAATTCTGTTATTATTATTATTATTATTATTATTATTATTATTATTATTATTTCTCTTAAATAATGATTTGTTTAAAAATGTGTTGTAATGATGATGTTGAAATGACTGCTTTCTTTTTATTATTATTATTAATATATAAAAATATAGAAATTTTATATTGATGCATAATTACACAATACATTTATTATTATTATTATTATTATTAGTATTTATGTATTGTTTTGGTTTTTTAAATAAGTTTCATTTACTCCCCTTTTACTTTTCCTTTTTTTTACATTAATAATTTTTAAATGTTATCGAGTGTGAAAAATAATGTTTGAAAATTTTTTTTTTCGAATTGTGAATAAATGACAGAGTATCATTATTATGAGAAAAAAAAAAAACATACCTCATTATTTTCTTCTTTTGTTTTCTGTTAAATAATGAAACATTATTATTATTATTATTATGTTTGATTTAAAAAAAAAAAAAAGAAAACTTTTGATGTCGATAAATTTATGAAAGATAAAATTGCCAAGTACTGGAATAAAAATTAAAACCTGTTACATTAGGTATAATGTTCATATTCGATTAATTTATTTTTTTTAATAAAATTTTAAGTCATGAAATAATAAAATTGCCCCCCAAAAAAAAAGAAAGAGAAAGAGAGAGAGAGAAAACGTTATTGTAATATAAATGATTTTTTAAATTTATTACAAACATTTCAAATAAAAAAAAAAAAAAAAAAAATATTATCCATAAAATTTTGTTAAAATGTCCATTTTATAACAATTTAATTTAATATAAAAATAAAATTCTTTTTATTTTCTCCCTTTCTTTTATAACAATAAAATAATAATAATTTTAAAATTTTTTCAAACTAAATATAATTCTTTATAACTACCTATATCGATTTATTACATTACCTTGGCACAAAATAAAAATTACAAAAAAAAAAAAAAAAGAAAATTGCGATCGTTAACTTTTTTTATTTTTACATCGAATGATTTTGTCGAAAAAATTTAAAAACGTTAAAAAAAATTTTTTTTTTGCACGAATTTAAAGAAATAAATTTTTTAAATATATACCTTTTTAAATTAAATTCGATGGGTTGATTTAAAAATACGATACGACACATACACAAATAAAAATTTTAATTATTTTGAAAAAAGATAATTGTAATTTAATAACGACCATGTTTAAAACCGTCAAACCTTTTATTAAATAGTATAGGTTCAAATGAATTTATTTTTGTCGACAAAACGACAAACGTAACAGCAACAACCAAAAAAATTATTATTATGGTTTTATTATTTAAAAGTCGTTGTTAAAAGGGTAAAAAAAAAAAAGAAAATTTTAAAAAAGAATTTTTTTTTTTTTTTTTTTTTTTTACCGGTGAAGAAGATAAAGGAAAAAAGAGAAAAAAGAAATCGAGGGAGAAAAATAGATTCGTTTTTTTTTTTTTTTTTTTTTAAAGTTGTCGCAAATCTGCGACTGTGCGGAAAAATTGATCTGATTGGCTGTCGAGCTCCCACTGTGCAAATGGATGGAATATTCTACCGGACTTCCGTCTCGTCTGTCATGAAACGGCAGAAAAATTTAATTTTAAAATTTTATAAAATGTTTTAGTGGATCAATATTTCGTTATATTTTTTAAGCAGTTATAACTGCTAATTTTTTTTTTTTTTTTTAATATTTTTTTTTCTCTCTCTCTCGATTAATGTATTTCATCGAATTTGTTAAATTTCACATAAGTTCAAGTGAAATGTCCGGCAGAAAAAAATTTTTTAATTCTCGTTTTCTCGGAGTGATAACCTTTAAAATTTCACCGATTTTGAACGGTTTCGGACGGGGTAAATATCAGAGTTTTTTTATAACGGTGTGAATTTTATGAAAACAAATGTCTGCATCGAGGGTACCTGCTCATATCGCTCTTTTGAAACCCGTTGAGGTACCGCAAAGCCTTGTTAATGGTGAAAAATTTGTAAAATGGGAAGAGGTGAGTTAATGATCATTTACTCATTTATTATATTTTTACCATTGTTCACATTTAATTTATTTACGTGGCCCCAAAAACTATCATTGTTCACATTCTAAAATATCTTATTTCATACTTTCATTCATCTTATGTTAAAATCTTCTTTTTTTCCTCCTTTCCATGAGCTTCATTTTGTTTCCCTCTATTCAAGTTTTATTCATATCAGTAATCAAACTATCTATTATTTAGGTTTAAAATTAACAGTTATTTGTTTTTTTTTTTTATTAAATTCCACATATTCTAAATAAACATTACATAAATTTATTTAATAGGCCATTTTATTTGATCTTGGTAAAAATAATAAAATGCTTGCTCGGTTTTCATGCATTCGTTATAACAATACCATTTTTTTTTTTTTTTTATATCGTAAAACTTTTCGGTTAATATCATTCGAATAAAAAATTAAATTATTATTAAATATTTTTTAAAAATATGATAAAATTATATATTTTAAATTGATTACTACTAATATTTTGTTTTGAAAACTCATTTAAATTTTAAATATTTGTTTTTTTTATTTATCTATATTTTACAAATCAAAATATTATAAATGAATTATCAAAAGTGAACAATTCATTGTTTTTCACAAACTGTTGCATTGAACACCTGTTGGGATTTCAGTATGCTAAATTAATTTCTTTAAGTTAGTTTTTTTTTATTTTTCTGATAGATATTTTTATTAAACTTTAATCGACTAAAAAATAATAATAATAATGAGAATATAAATACTATAAAATATAATAATTACTCGAAAAGTTGATAATCGTAGTGAAAAGTTGTTTGTGTAACAATTTTCAATATCAAATTTAACAAACAGGTGATTTTCTATTTCTTCAACCCGATTAATATTCTTTATTCTTTTTTTTACTTTTTAAACAAGTTAAAAATTAAATTTTTTAAAATATAATTTCGAATGAATTACAATAAAATGAATCAAAACATAATTTTATTATGATTTCATTTCGTTAGAGACACATTCGTTGAAATTTTTTTTTTGAATTTTAACCATTTACAAGTCTTACATCTATAATTTTTAAATTTAAATTATAAATTAAATTCTCTAAGGTGTTGTAATTTATTATTTTCAAGGTGTTGTAATATAATATTCAAATCATATTGTCCATATTTTCAAGATGATGCCTTGCGAGATTTCTTTAATTTCATTCGAATGTTTCATTTTTCTTTTTTTTCTCTCTCCATACAATAAATAATGACTTTTGTTTCGAATGTAATAATAATAATTTTTTTTTTTTTTTTTTTTGTATCGAATGAATGATGTTTGAAAATTACTAATGATTCTTTCTTAATATAATTCATTTGTGTGTTTGTATGTCAAATGTGAAATATGAAAAAGAAAAATAATAATAATAATTGTAATGCACTATATGTAATTTGTTTGAAAAAAATTACAAACATGCAATCATTAGTCATTTATTAAATGTTTCAAAAAGCAAAAAAATTCTTAACACATACAAAATGATTAGAAATTATGTAATTGCCAAGAATTTATAACATTTTTTCTATTTTTTTACCTTTTAGAAATTAATTTTTGTGTGTGTGTGTGTGTGTGTGTGTGTGTCTGGTGATATAATATATTTTCAATTATATATTTAAATAGTGTAGTCAAAGGTCAACCACCATGGAGA